GGCGGGAGCGAGGGAGGGGCGGGGGACCGAGAGACCAAAGAGGAGACAAAAGGACGGGCTAGGGGGCGGGGCCTCGACCGCGGGCTAGGGGAGGGGCGCGGGGACGCCTCGGGGGGAGGGGTGTGTGCAGGGGGGCCGGGTGGGAGGTGCTTAGAGAGGGACGTGAAGGGACAACATAAGGAGGGAGCGCAGGGTACGGGGTGGGGGGGGAGGCGGAAGGGCCCCACCACGCTGGCCCCGGAGGGGAAGGAGGCCGCGGGAGGAATGGCCACACAGTGGGAGGGGGTCCTGGGGACAGCCAGTCCGCGAGGCAGGGGGCCGGGGCTGCGGCAGGCCGGGCGGGGAAGGGTGAGCCGACACCCGGAGCGCGGCAAGGATCTGCGGGCGGAGGCGGATGGGTGTATGTGCAGCGCCGAGGGCAGGGACTGGACGCTGCAGACCGGAATGATCCAAAAACCACGGTGGGGGCCACACAGACGGGACGGGCTACCGAAGCAGGACGAAAACTGCCCCGGGGAAAGTGGGACCTACAGGGCTAGAGAAGGGTGGCGGGGGCGGCCTCAGGCTCGGCAGGAAGGCGCCACCACCGCCTTCTGCCCGTCCCCAGCGTGCCCCGCCCCGTCCGGGGGGCCGTAAAGCCAGCGGCCTGGGCCGTGGGGGAGCTGAGCCAGGGCGGTACCATTTGGAACAGAGAGGGGGGCTTGGGGGGAGGGAGGAGCCAGGGGTCAGAACCCTGTGGGGGGCGGGGGGGCGCCACACCCTGGGAAAAAGGCTTGGGCACATCCAGAGTGGACCAATCAGCGAGCAAGACCAGGGTGGCGTCAAGGGGCAGCTTCGACCAATGGGAAGGGAGAACACTTCGGAGGTTCGGAGGAAGAAAAGAAAAAAAAAAAAAGAAAAGCTCAACGAAACAACAATCGAATCCGTTTAGGGGCTTGCAAGGCTGGGAGTGGGCATCCTTTTATAGCACGTTTCGGCGCCTGTCCTCTTTTTGGAAGGATGGGGTCGCTTGCATCACTCCTGGGCGGCAGGGCGCACCCGCAGCTGAGGAGGGTCCCGGGAAAGTAGACAGGGATTGGCCGTTTACTGGGGGCACTTGATTGGGCGCCTCAATTTGGGGGGTGGGTGGGACGGTGGTGGCAGCTTTGTGCTCGAAAGAGTGAAAGAGGATGTGGTCTCTTAAACGGAGGCAGGGGTGGGCCGGGGTCCCTCATTCCCCACCATTGGCTACTGTCTTCTTAAGTGTCAACTAGCAAGTGGGTCGTGGATAATCTCAAGCCAATGGATAACTTAAAAATGTCCTTTGGGCTCTGAACATCGCTCAAGGTGTATTCATTGCCCTTTCTGAAGCCAGGTTGGTTCCAGAGAGGATGAGCAGTGGTAGAGGCTCACATCTACCACTGGGAACTTCGTAGCAATTTATGGCTTTTTTGGTTTCAAAATTAGTTTAGAGCACTGGTCCCTACTTAATCACTCATCTAATGTGTAACACTGGATGCATCACTCTACTCTGGAGTCTTTTTACTTATAAAATAAAGGTAGCTAGCTAGCTACCTTTGAGGTCTAAAAAATTTTGAACCAACTTGGAGAGTGGTGGTGTGCTTGGAAAAGAGAGCCATATTGGTGGGAGGGACTTCAAAAGAAAACCGGGAGTGGTAGAGAGCTTTTGGTCCAGGGATTCTAAATGTCTGCAAAACTCCTGTAACTCTACCTACCGTAATGTACATGTTGGTGCGTTTTCCTGGGGAAGGTCCATAACTTCATCAGATTCTCAGAGGGGTTCGTAACATGCACACAAATTATCCTGTTTTGGTCTAAACGGGCTGGGGGATGAATTTCCATGTTCCTTGGAGAAAGCAAAGGGTAGTAGTGTCCCTGACAATATGGTTGTTTTTACAGCCTGTCCTTTGGACTCAGAGGGAGTGGAAGTTTCCTAAATTCCTTGTTAGGAATCTCGGCAGCAGGGGCTCTTTCCACATATCTCATCATTCAAGGAAAGGCAAGTTCCTCATTGCGGAGAAGCCCATGAGAGCTGCCATACAGCAAAGTAAAGCTTGAATAAACTAGATTTTGAATCAATGGTGAGGAGCTGGCCCCGAGTTAGGAAGGAAAGGGAATAAAGCTTTACTTCTGGAAAGCTTATCTACCTCATTTGTAAAGTAAGAATAAAACCTTACTGTCTTGTTACGATGGAGCCCTGGTGGCACAGTGGTTAAGAGCTTGGCTTGCTAACCAAAAAGGTTGGCAGTTTGAATCCACCAGCCGCTCCTTGGAAACCCTATGGGGCAGTTATACTCTGTCACATATGGTCACTATGAGTCGGAATCAACTCGACGGCAGCTACTCTAGACAGCAACCTCTGCAAGCTGGGAGGCTTACCAAAAAAAAAAAAAAAAAATTAAAAAAAAAGGGGGCTAGACTTGTGGGGCTAGAAGCTGACTTTGTACCATCCTGGTCTTAAGATGGGTCCAGAGCAGAGTCCAATTGCAGTTTGTGTATCCTGTTTCTAAGTTCAGAGGTTAAGAATATAGTGTTTTTGTCACTATTCCTGAATCTTCAAGTCATTTCATTGGTAGTTATTTATGGTGGATCATATTTGATGTGATATACTTAAGATCATAACCCTGTTGCTATTCAGTTGATTTCGACTCATAGCGACTCTACAGGACAGAATATAACTGCTCCATAGGGTTTCCAAGGAGCAGCTGGTGGATTCCAACTGCCAACCTTTTGGTTAGCAGCTGAGCTCTTAACCACTGTGCCACCAGGGATTCTTTAAGATCATAGATCAGGGCAAATTCTCTAAACTTTGACTTAGATCCAACTACATAATCCTTGGGGGCAGTGGTGATTCAGTGGTAGAATTCTCGCCTTCCATACGGGAGACCTGAACCCTGCCCAATGCACCTCAAGCAGAGCCACCACCCGTCAGTGGAGGCTTGCGTGTTGGTATGATGTTGAACAGGTTTCAGTGGAGTTTCCAGAGAAAATGAGGTTCCCCTGAAAAGTACCGCTGGAGAAATGCAGTGGGGAGTGTCAAAGGTGTCTGACTGGAAGAAAAGGATTCAACTGGGAGACAACACAGAATACGCTCTAGTTAATAGATTAAAAATCCTTTATTGCTTAAGTGAGGTTTAACTATATGCACAGTGGGATAGGCCAGTTTTGGAAGTGATCCTGCAGCTGAGGGTAACACCGAGCCCAATGAGGTGGAAGTAGTCAGGGCTCAAGATGTCACTTCTCCAGCACCTCAATCTACAGAGTTTTTCTTCAGCTGTTTCTTGTGACGGACGGAGAGTTGTTTTGGATTCCTCTGTACCATAGAGAGGTCAGACCTCGAAGAAGACCGGTAGCCCACATCCTCGGCTTTTATGGGCTTAATGATATGGCCTGGCTTGGTGACAACCTTGGGAGTAGTCAGCTTTTGGAAAGCCCTCTGGGTGTTCCATGTAGATCCTATAGGGGTCTGGATGGTCCTTTCAAATTGGTGATGGTGGGTGAATGGGTATGGAAGCACGTGTACCTGGAAAGGAAGGAAGAGTGACTTGGCGTCAAGCCAGGCTTGGGGTGCAGTTGTATACTCACCACGATGGGAACCGGTCAGGTACAGTTTTAGCACCTAGGCCCCAGTTCTACATGATGTCTACAGTGAGTGAAGCTATGCGAGGTCAAGGCATTCCAATGCTCTCAGCTAACCGAAGGAGTCCCAATCTGCTTAAGGACATTTGGGAGTACAGTCCTAACTTAGATTATGAAAAGCACCCTGATGCTGCCCTGGTGTAGCTACAGCAGCTCCAGGGATGCTGCCTCAGAGTGGTTTTCTGTACAACACTGTGAACGCAAGAAGTATCTGGGCATTTTTGTATCCCCGTGGATTTTATGACTCCCTCCTCTTCATGCTCGCGCTCCCTTCCTTTCTCTCCTTGATACGCAGAATTCACGGTTTAAGGGACCCAAAGATTTACCCCTGAATCCTGAACCCCACCAGGCTGTTAAGCTTAGCTTCATCGTCTTTTGGCATCACAGAATGTCAGAGCTGGAAGGCCCGGAGAGACTATCTAGTCCAACCCCAAGTCACATTCTAGAGAGAAATGTACCGGGGGAGGGCATGGCAATGGTTACCTCCCTTGCCCCAAGATTCAGCTAAGAGAGGGGAAGTGATTTACCCAAGTAAATTTGGAGCAGCATGGGAGAGCAGAAGCCAGGGATCCTGTTTCCTTGGCTCAGTACACTTCTCCCTTTACCAAAATGCTACCTTCAAGTACTTCCACAATAGCCAAAGACGGGGGAAAAGCAAGCAGAAAAATGGGGAAGTTAGTCAGTACTCTTTGGGGGATATTCACTTAAGAGAAGCTGAGTACTACTTGGTGGTAGTGAAGCAAAGATTCTCTCTGGGTCACGGGAATGTCTTATTTAGGTTGATAGCTAGATCTGTGCTTGCCACCCAGGTCAAGAGGGAGGGATTTAAAAAAAAAACACCTGGCCAAAATATCCAGTCTCAGGAGTTCTTGTGTTCAGCTTGAAGCATGCTTTAGTCTACTGCAGTCAATTGGTTATTAAAAAGATGAGGAAAATCAAGGGAGATTCTTGGAAAATGATATGTCAGTTTGCTGTGGCTGTATTAAAAAACAGACAGACAAGACCCCTGGAGGGGAAGGGTGGTCTTTATTGAGGTTCACATTCTACCCTTCACCTGGAACCCTGGCCTGTTAAAGCTCCCATTTTTTTCTCCTTTCTTACCCATAACTGCCTGTTCGCTGCCTATTTCCTGGTTGTATATCCCCAACTGGGATTGCGGTGGTTATAATTCGAATTTCTGAAGCAACTGGTTCACAAAATAAGATCAAATAGAGTATTATTTAACTGTGCATTTTCTCACCTCTCTGCCATATCCATTAAATAGTTCTCTCCCTCCTTTTCTGGAGGAAAAAAACAACTCGTTTCAGTATTATACTGGCTGAGGACAGACCTCAGGGTCACAAACTTTTAGATTGAATGGGAAATCAAGGCTATCTCGTCCAACCTTATTCTTGAGTCCCCTTTACACATGCTCCTATCCCAGAGCAGCCCATGTCCTCTCTGGACTACTGGAAAGTTTTTCCTCGAATTGAATCTGCTTCTCCTCCAACTTCTACTCTACGTGACACCACACGACAGGCTTCAACATACTTTGCTCTGTCTCTCTAAGGTAACTATCCCTAGCTCATTAGTATATGACACAATTTTAAATCCTTTCACTTTCCTGAACAAGAGTAAGTTTGTCTTCATTTTTCTTAAGGGATAGCTCAAACCTTACAGCCCCTGGGTGGCGCAAATGGTTCCTGGGCTTGGCTGGAACTGAAAGGTTGAAGGTTCGAGTCTACCCAAAGGTGCCTTGGAAGAAAGGCCTGGAGATCAACTTTTGAAAAACCAGTCACTGAAAACCCTACGGAGCACAGTTATACTACTCTGACAAACACGGGGGCCACCATGAGTGGAAACTGACTCGAGAGCAACTGTTTAAAAAACAAAACCAACCAACCGAACAAAAAAACTGTTGTCATTATTGTTGGGTGCTGTCGAGTTGATTCCGGCTCATAGCGATCCCATGTGTTAGAGTAGAACTGCCTTATAGGGTTTTCTAGGCTCTAATCTTTATGGAAGGAGATCACCAGGTCTTTCTCCCATGGTGCTGCTGGGTGGGTCTGAACTGCCGGCCTTTCAGTTAGCAGCTGAGTGCTTAACCATTTGCACTCCCAGGGCTCCTTTTTAAAACAGTACCTTGACCATGAACACAAGCCTATAATGAGACTCATTTCCATAAGAGTTATCTAAGGCACTTGTTGAACAGCAGGTTTTGGGGCCTCATCATTGCTCACGTTCAGCGATAGAAACAGCAATAATCTATGTGGAATGATTACTTTCAGAGCCAGTCAGTGGAAACAAGCATAGACTTGATTCTGGACCACAGTTCACTAGACAACTCCCAAGCAAGAGAGAAGTAGGTAGCACAAGAGCCCTCAAAGCCCTCACCTGATGAGCTGCGGCATGGATGTTGCGCTTCTCATTGATAATCACATTTGGCAAATTCTTGTCTTTTCTTGGAGGACCCTCAGGGGCTTTAATGAGAAACCTGAAAAGCAAAACAGCAGGATGTCTGACAAGGAGCATTAAATTAAGGGCTTAGTCAAAAGGGCAGGGAGGACACTTCGGGGCAAAGTAGGAGAACTCGGGGCCCTCCTGACAGGCGTTTTTCCTCGTTCTTACCGGCGTCTTTTTTTGGCACTGGGCTGCAGGCCCACACCACCCCACTCGCCCCAGCCAGGCAGCGTCAGGTCCACGTCCTTTGGCTTACTCGCCTCCACGGCTTCCTTCTTCTCTTTCAAGAAGTCTCTGATGACATCATCCCCAGCAAAAGCTTCCTTTATCATCTGCTTTTGGTCTCTCTCTTCTTCATCTTCCTGGGAAGAAACAAGAGTGAGAGCTACAGCTTGCCTTATGAGCAGTGGTTCATGATAAGAACACTTGAAGTTTGGGTCATGACATTTTAGCGCCCCCTAGGGGGAGAGTGTTGAACAACGACGGTCTTGCAGTACAAACCAAGCATGCTTGAATCTTCTCTCTGGGGTAAATATTCCTAGCTCATTATCATATGATGCAATTTTAAACTTTCAGCAGGGAAGCTGCAGGGTGGACGAAGGAATGGCCTGTGACAGAAGCAGGTGCTTCAACTGGCCTGGCTAGAATGTGGGCTTCCTCTGGCCTGTATCTCCGAGAGACAAGTGCTAGGTAGGGTTCCTCGCTTCTCAATTCCAAGTCACTGAACGGGGGAGTCCCGAAACACCTGGGACCTCACTGAAGAAAGTAAAAACTTGGCAATAGCTCAGTGACTCACCTGAGGGTTGTCCTGCCTGGGAGCTGGTCAGAGCTTTGAGTGACTCCCTCTTTCCTCTGAGGGCAGTTTGAGTCACCCCAGGGAGGCTTTGGTGGCTCAGGATTTAGAACATGGGAGTCTCAGCAGCACTCATACACTTGCATCTACTAAACTGGCCCCATACTATTCTGGATCTCTCAACTACTGAAATGTACCCCAGCACAACAAAGCTTCACTGATTCTAATCTTCGTGCCCAAAGGACACTTCCTACACCAGGTCTGCTCCCCCACAATGGCCCACGACCCTGGCTCTGCTCACCAATGCCTCTATTGTTGTGGGAACTGCCAAAGACTTCACAGAGGGAGATTTTGTAGTTAGGAGGTTCTGCAAATCAATCATTTCCTCCTTTCTTTTCTTCTTCTTAGGGGCACCAGGCTGATTATCTGGGTTCCTCTCTGTCTGCTGCCCTTGTGACACAGGTCTGGGAAGCTCTGTATTTTGCAGGTAGCCTTCTTTGCCCAGCTCTTCTAGCTCTTCTAGAGTCTGTACTCTCTCTGGCCTCTGCAGCAACAGGGGCTCCTCCTCTTCCTGGGCTGGTTCCTCTCTCTGGACTGGGAGAACAGCCCTCACGGAATTCCCTTTTTGCTTCCTGGACTGTTTTTCCTGGTTTTCCTTGTTGAGCTTCCGAGACAGTGCCCTCAATTCGGATAGCACCTCCTGGCTGCTAGCATCTGGGAGAAAAATTAGAGCTGTCAGAAAAGGAGGTTGGAAATTGCCTTATCAACAAGCATTACTGAGCACACTCAACAACGAGTATTTGTTAAGCATCCACTGGGTGCTAGGTACACCAATGAAGACATTCCAAGGATAAATGGGGAAGAGAAGATTCCATATATAAGATCTTCTGGAGAGTTCACTAATCATTCCCTGTCAAGTAGCAGGCAGTAGGCTTTGGTAGTTAAAAGCTTCACGCTGGGAAGCAGATGTCCTGGGTCCTATTCCCAGCTTTGCCAGTGACTCACTGTATAACTGGGACTATGGCTTAATTTCCTTGTACAGTAAACCCTGCTTGGGGAGATCACCCAAAGCTCCAAATATAAAAAGGGAACCATTTTAACTGGTGGCCTCTGAATACTATTTCATTGTCATTTATGCTTTGTTGTTGTTTTTTTGCCATTGAATCAATTTTGACTCATAGTGACCACATGTGACAGAATAGAACTGCCCCATAGAGTTTTCTAGACTGTACTTTCTCCCACAGAGCCACCGGATAGGTTTGAACTGCCAACCTTTCGGTTGGCAGCCAAGCACTTAACCATTGTGCCACCAGGGCTTCTTAATTTACGCTTTACTATTTGTAAAAATCTTACCCAGGATTCATCCTGACTCTAGAATCTCCATCCCCTATCTTAAAGCAGTTATTTCATAAACTGCTGTGGCTGAGTCAAGGAGAGATGGAAGTAGCTGCTTTCTGCAGTGGATGTAGCTCACACTTGCCAGTCACTAGCAACATCTGAGCAAATGCCACTAGTCTCTAAGCACCCTGAGGGCAACACAGCAGTGACATATTTCTGAACTGTCCTTTGCACTGACTCCAGTCGCCTCCATCCCAGGTTAATCCTGCTCTAGTTTTGGCTTGAAGCCACCACAAGAAGCTACTGAGTTCTGGCCTTTGGACACATGGATGCTTATTTCTCAAGAATCAAGTTCTCTTGTTCATTCTGTTTGGGGTCCACGACTTCCCACTCTTTTAGGAAAATGCTTTATTATTCAACGAAATAAAAATCCACTTTTCATATTTCATACCACAACCAACTGCTCTACGCATTTAGCTGGACATACAGGCTGCTAAGGGGGCTCAGCTTTTAAGGGGGCTCAGGAGGATGCTGCACTGCTGCTTTCTAAAATCCTCTCAGAAGCGACTGCTTGTTACTGTCAACCCCAGAAATCTCCAGCCGAAAACCCTAAGTTTCAACATTCTAAATGACAGCTCTTTTAAAATAAATTGGTACCATGTAAAAACAGATTCTCGCTGTCATCCAAATGCATTATTCCTCGAATGAAATACAATCAGATCTGAGAATTCATCCACAGAGCCAGGTGATTCTGGAATGTAGACAGTTTCCTGAGTAGGCTTTATAATCTCCTGGTTTACCCCCAGAATGGGGGCTCTCTGACCTGTCTCAAGGGTGCTAACGGTGTTAAAACAAAAGCCCTTCAAGATAAAATGAATAGTGGTGACTGTTCCACAATACGGTGAATGTAATTAATGCCACTGAATGGTACCCTTAAAAGTGGTGACAATGGCAAATGTTTTGTTATAGATATATTTGCCACAATAAACAAAAGGAATGAGCAACTACCTAAAGAAGATTAAATGTTGAAATGGCGCATGTTTTGTTTTCTATGTATACCTACCACAATTAAAGATAAAAAGAATAAGCGCATTTCTGGTATGGGACAGATGTTTATAACCGCCTAATTTTTATGGTTGGTCCTATTAATTGAAAGAAATAAGTACCGGCAGTTATACTATACATACAGGGTGTACCCATGCTTTGAAAATAAACGTATTTTAGCAAGTTTTTTTTTAATTAATAGGGATTTTTTTTTTCTGGTTAAGGCAAAATAGACTAAAAATAAATAGCTGTATACTACTTCAAAAAAAATCTCTTGAAGATAATTGGTACAGAACAAAACCAAAAACTGCAGCAATGTTTTGAAGACCTTTCCTAATGCCTCAAAATCCACCTACGCGTGCGCGTAAATGGATTTCCCCAGAGTTGCCGTCCCACCAACGTGCTTCTCTCTGGAGCGTAGGTAACAGTAGTGCACTTCAATGCCATTCCTTCAAGGCTGGTTGAGTTATGCCTTTCTGAAGGGTTGTCTAAGCCTGAGAGCCCGAAGAGCAGAAAATGTGTCTGAGCCCACACCGGACAGCGAGGCAGATGATGGCTTATTACATGCCTTTTAAGAAAAATGGTTATTATGAAGCTAATTTCTCTTCAGGGACCCAGCACACTCACTCTTCAAAGTCCCCAGAGCCTAATGGCTGTGCATGTGTGTGGGTGGACACTTACTTTTTCTTGCACCATCTGCAACACTGACATGCTCCCTTTGATGTCACAACTCACCTTGTGCTTCTCGACCGCCCACGGGCTCAGCATCTTGGTTGAGCTCAGGCCTTTTCCTAAGGGATCGCCTTTCTTCAAATTCTTTCAACAAGGTTTCTTCTTCTGCTACTGGACTTTCTTCCCCCTCACTTTCTGAATCCTCGTGGGCCATGGGCTCAGGAGGTTGTTCAGGGTCCTTCTGGATTTCCACCTCTTTGGCATCACTGGTGCAACTTCTGCGCATCCAGGGATTCGGCTCATTTGCGTTTATGTGGACTTCGTTCACGACATCAGGGACGAGGAGTTCATTCTCCTCTACACCTCCCCCCTCTTCCTCACTCTCAGATGCTGCCTGGAGTTTCTGTGTCAGCTCTTTGTTCTTGGCCAACTGTTCCTGCATGGCTTGGCGAGCCTGGATGAAGGCGGCACAGGAGAGAGCCCTGTCATTAGTGACCATACCACCTCTCCTGCTCCATTTCTTAAAACTGTCTCCTCTCAATCTGACGTGGTAAGTATTTCTTAGAGTACCTATCATTTAAACTGCATACACACCATTGTACTAGTAGCTGTGGGGTAACACAGAAGACAAGCTCTTTGTCCTCGAGGAACTGACATGTGAAACAAGAGAAAAAGCTCCTCTCCACCCACCTTTACTAGACTTGCCTTCAGTGCTGTTGCCCTTTCGTCTCCCCCTTTCCACCTTGGTCCTGGGCATTTTCCTCTCTGCCTTAGGGACTTCCTGATGCCTTTTTAGATTCCTGGTTTTCCATTCATCCTCACAGCTCTTCCCCAGTTCTGCTTCTGCTAGCATCCTTTATGGACCCATTTTCCTTTCCTTCCATCTCTGCTCTCACCCTGATAGTCTCTTACCTCTAGGTCATATTTGGCCATAATTGCCTTTGACTTGGCCCATTTCCCACTGTTCTGGTGTTTAAGGCTCATTCGCTCCTGGAATGAAAAGACAGAGTGAGATCCTTATCAGCTTCCAGGGAAAGCTGGCTTAAAGGAGTGGAGGCCAGAGGAAGCCTCACCATCATTCTGGCCTTTTCAATTTTTTCCAGTTCTTCTAATGCTGCAGTAGGGTCGACCTTCCGCAGAGTCTCAAAATCTTTTAGGGCTTTCTTGGCCTTTCCTTTCTTGACAACTTTGTGATACCTGTAGGGTAAGAGGGATATGGGTGAAGGGGTTAGAGTTAGCTAAAGCACTGACGCCACACACAAAAGTGGCCATGCTACCCAAAGGCTTCCCTGTGCAGGGGCTGGAATGGACATCCTGTTCCTCAGAGACGGTTGACTGTAGCCAGTTTGGGGCCTGATAGGACTAGTCCCTGCAGCTCCCAGGAGCAAATCTCTGAAGAGCGAAGAGTCCCCTCTGCTTCTACAGCCCAAGGGAGGAGTAGAATAAGTTCCAAAGAGACAAAAAGGCACAGAGGAAGCCCAACTGGCCTCAACAGCTGTGGAATAGAGAGATCATTCTGCAGAAGCACGCTATGATGCCCTGGAAGGGAGAGGGTCATTCAACACTCCTCTTTTTAGCAAAATCAAGAATAAAAGCCAAAGTCAGAATACAACAGGGCATTACTGAAGCAGGCAAAACTATGACGTTGAGCTGGAGGGAAAAAGGCTAGTCACCCCTATTTGGGATCTCTTCAACATGACACCAGTTACCATGTCAAAGATTCTTTCCTAAGGATTCATGAGTTAGCCTCATCACTTTTTCCGGAGGAAGCAACACCAGTTCACAGAGACCACCTTACTTTTTGCTTTTGATTTTCTTCTCTCTTCGAGCCTTGGCCTCATAGTAGGACTGCAGGGCCCGGGCCCTCTGAAGCTCAGCACGGCGCATCTTAGCCTATAATGAATGACATTTACAGTGACCTCTGGGCTTGAGGGCAACTGCTGGGAGAAATATAGCATGCCTAGGTGTGTCTGAGGGCCTATTCCACATACCTCTTCTAGGCTCATGGCTTTGAGAGAGGCCTTTTCCACTGGAGTCAATAAAGGGTCTGTCACTGGCTGCTTGTTCTTGTGAAGGACGTTAAAAATTTCCTGTTCCAGGGGAGTTCTTGCCTTAAGGAGATAACAGAACATTCTAAGTCTTAACCCATGTTCTTATAACTCCCTCTTTACATTCCTATGCCCATCTGTTTTATGACACTATGACTGGAATTGCTAACTGGATAGGATTGGTTGACACAGCAAGAGAAGAGGGGCCACAAAACACTTGCAGTCTCACCGTGCAGCTGTGTAAATAAAGCTTTATTGTGATTTAAGACAAAAGCAAAGGGACTGAGGCTCCTCTCTAATATACTGAGGAGATTACTCTGTGTTCAGATTACCGATATATGTAAAACAGATGTATGTACAACAGTCTCTTAAGAAATTAAGAAGGATGCCCATCAGGTAAATGCTGGCAAGAGAGAGTAACAACAGTACTAGACTGTCACAGTACTGATAGTCCCAAAACAAAATAGCCCCTGTATTGTTATGTATATTTGAAGCACACAGCTATTACCTTATAGTCAGGAATCTCAGATTCCTATCATAAGCCTCCTTTTAGGACTATTTCTACAGGGAGGGGGAGGTTAGAGCTTAAAGTAAACATTATTTGCCACTGATGGTACAACCAGGAAACAGATCTGCACAACAGCTCATAAGGGAACCCCAACTTTTTTTTTTTTCAAACATGGCATTTTTGGGCATATCCTACACATGCAGTTTATGGCAGGGTATGTATTTTAATTTCCTGAGCACAAAAGGACACTGCCCTTGCAACTAGTGTCAGGAAGCAATTTGTGTATAAATTTTAGAATGAGAAACTAATTTGCTTTGTAAGCTTTCACCTAAAGCACAATAAAATTAAAAAAAAAAAAAAAGACATTGTCTTAAAAAAGATGACCTTCATGTAATCAGCCTGCTTCCTGACAGTTCAAATTTAATTCTGGTCATTTGCTAACTTTGGTGCCAATTCCTCAGTTTCCAGTTATTTTGCATGCGAGGTCACTGTGTTATTTCATATGTCAACAAAAGACCCCACTTGCTGCTGATTGATGTTGTAAGGATCGCTAAAGCAGTCAGGCCAAGTGGGTCACAAAGGTAGTCCCTAGGCAACAGATCCATTTCCAAACCTCACACACACATTATATGCGGTTTTCTTCAATAGCCATATACATCGTGGTCAGTATTAAACTCAACAAATATCTGGGCAGATACATAAACACATATCATCACATGTTACACGCGGCTATTGATTTAACCATAAACCTATTCTAGTGAATAGTAAAGATGCATGTTCTTCCATTTTTACTATTTGCAGTAGTAATCAATCACAGGCTACAAAGTGATTTATATCACAACGTTGTAATCTCCCTTCGATTCAAATGGATTTACAAACGCTTACTGATTGCAGCTACATTCCAGGCACTTGTGCTGGGTGCTAGGAATACACAATTGATTAAGATAGTCCTCACAGAGCTCACAGCCATTCAGAGGAAAGACACACACACCACTAACAACGTTAACAGTTTAGATGCTACTCTATGGGGTAATCAGAGGAAGGAACAATTAATTCTGACTAGGAAGTGGGTTAGAAGGCATGGGGAAGGAAGTGACTTTTTGAGATAGGCCTTGAAGCATAGGTATGGCTCTGTCAGGAAGAAAAGGCAAAACATTCCAGAGATGAGCAAAAGCAAAAATACATGGGAACGAGTGGTGTGTAAGGGAACTGTGTTGTCCAATGTAACTAAAATGCTAGGTGCTTGCATTTTATTCTATAAGTGAGGCACCCTTGAAGGATTTTAGGCAGGCGAGCAACAATTCGTTTGTGTTTCAGAAAGAAAATCCTAGTGATAACATGTAATATCCCAAATGAAAGGTGATGAGAGCCAGGACTAGGGCAGTGAAAAATGCAGAGGAAACAGGGACCCGAGAACTATCAGAGACAGAATGTAAAGGACTAGACTACTGTCTGAGGAGAGGTGGCAGTTAAGGGCAGAAGGAGGAATTGGAAGACTGAGGTGTCCAACCTAAGTGACTGGGGCACGGAGTCATGCTGTTAACAGTTAGAAAATGCAAGTGGTGGTACAAGTTTTGGGAGTCTCGGGAAGGAAAATGTGAAGCTTAGTTTGGAGTGAACAAAGTTTCAGGTGTATACGGGAGACTCTGGTGATGCCTACTATTCAATGGACTATGGGACTGGAGCTTAGCAGGGGTTGAGAGTGACCTGTAGCATATACAGGTCATAGTCAAAAGTCATGGCATTGATATGAATTGTCCGTGGAGTTTGAAAGAACTAAGAAAGAGAAACCAGACAGATGGAAAAAAATCCGGAGCATGCCACAGCAGCTGAGAGGAATTTTTAAGAACAAGAACATGATGTTTCAATAGCGCCAAACAGGCTGATGACAAAGACGGCTCAGGATCTGGCAATTCAGAGGCTCCTCACTAATGACCTTTGAGAGAAGTTTCAGTTTCAGGGCGATAGGAGAAGAAATCTTGCTATATCAGGAGGTGAGAGTGGAGGAAGCCACAGAGACCAGCTTTTCCCGAAGCTCATTCCTCCCAACAGTAGCTCTATAACGACAAGGTGTACTTAGTTTTGAAAATGTTTAAAATGGAATCTTAATGAAATTTATTTTTTAATAAAATCAGTTTGTACGCCCTGGGTTCAATTAGGTTACACAGGTTTCTTTTCGTAGCCTTTAAAATGCTAGTGTGGATTGTGAATCGCCAACCTTTGGTCAGGGCATATAGCATGCAGTCTTTTCTAGCAGTGCAACTCCCGTTCCCCACCTTTTGAGTGCATACTGAAAGACTACGGTTTGGGGAACACTTTGGGAAGTGCTGGTATCGACTAAAATGTCTGTTAGCGGAGGGGAAGAGAGAGGGGGTGTCATGTTCATGGAGTGGCAAGGAAAATATTATCTTTCATCATTTCTAACACTTTGCAGTTTACAAGTGCTTTTGTGGGCATTGCCCCATTTAATTCTTCTCAGCTAGAGTGAAATGAAATTTTAGGAAGCTGGACCAAAACTCAGGAGCCCTGGTGGCACAGTGGTTAAGACCTTAGCTGCTAACCAAAAGGTCGGCAGTTCGAATCCACCAGCCGCTCCTTGGAAACGCTATGAGGCAGTTCTTCTCTGTCCTGTAGGGTTGCTGTGAGTTGGAATTGACTCAATAGAAACGGGTTTGGTTTGGACCAAAACTATAGAGCAGACTTCTGATTCTCAATCTCTAGAAACCTAGTATACTCTAGTCCTTGGTACTTTGCACTATAAGTTGTTAGGAGAGAGCTGGGAGTTGCTAGCTAGAAAGTACCTCCTGGCCTAAGAATTTCCTTGTTCCTCTGTGCCACACTGGCATAATTTCTCAAAAAGGAATCTTTGAAGGACTAACTGGCACGATGTGTTCTATGTAGAGCACTTGGGCCCCATTTTGTCTTGAAGACGATTCCTAGAGAGCAGAGATTGTGCCTCCTCCACCACCACTTGACCATCTTTAATAACCAACTCAGTATAGTTATTTGTTGACTATTTCTTTAGGTTCTAATAAGCCAAAAAAAAAAAAAAAATCAGTAAACATACCAGATACCAGTCGTGTGTTACCCTTTCAATAAAAAAGGAGGAAAACATGAATACATAAATGAAACTTGAAGTTTAACAAAAAACTCTAATAAAAGTGGTTACTTCCTGGGTGAGTAACCAAAAAAAAAGAAAGAATCAAAAAAACAACAAAAACAAACCTGTTGCTGTTGAGTCAATTCCGACTCATAGCAATCATATAGGACAGAGTAGAACTGCCCCGTAGGGTTTCCAAGGAGCAGCTGGTGGATTCGAACTGCCATCCTTTTGGTTAGCAGCCATAGCTGTTAACCAGTGTGCCACCAGGGCTCCTCTGGGTGAGTAAGGGGGTAAAAATGAGCAGATGGGGGACAGGGGTGGGGTCAGACTTTCACTATATATCTTCTGTACCTTTTATTTTTCAATCCTGCAAATTGTATTACCTCTTAAATTTTTTTTCTAAAGTCTCCCTTGCATCCTGCAGCCACACTTTAAACCTGATCTCTTTTTCATGTGGAAAAGGAAGCATCCTAGAAAGAAAATGGTAGTGACTTCAACAACATCATCAGAAACAGAGCTCATCCCTATAATAAGTAACTACTAGTTATTGTGGCAAACAAGGTTTATTTTGATTAGCTTTACTTATCTCAACTTCCACAAATACAGGACACTATTATTCATGGCGTTTTAGAAAGTACAGAGCAGAAGCACAAAGAGATCATGTATTCATGGTTTGGGCAGTGCTGTTTTGATTATTTTTCTGTTTAAGACAGCACATCCCATTACAGACTCCGTACCACTGGTGTACTGGAAAAGAAGGGCTGGCTGTTCTAAAGCACTTGTTCATAGACTTTTGGGTTCAGATTAAAACTTTTGAGACTTTAGGGACTTGCATAGGATTGCCAACTTTTAATTTTGCCAACTAAAGGTGTATCTACCATTCTGCCCCCAACCTTAATATTTACCACCACCATAACTTCCTAGGAGAAAAGATATCTTAGCATCATTAAAGTGGAAAGAATAACCTCATAATAAAGAACAGCTGGCAAGCTTACACCCACCAAACATACATACTCACGATTTTTTTTCCCCTTTTGCGTCAGATGGATGAAAACTTTGTCAGAGATCAGTGTTCTGAGAAACCCTGCTCTTAAATACCTTCCCCCCTTCCCCTGCAGCTCAGAATCATAATGAGAAGTCCTGGTGTCACAGTAGTTAAGTGCTGGGCTGCTAGCCGAAAAGTCACCAGTTTGAGCCCATCAGCCTCGGCAGGGGAAAGATGTGGCAATCTGCCTCTGTAAAGATTTACAGCCTTGGAAACCCTATGGGGCAGTTCTACCTCGTCCTATAGGGTCGTTATGAGTTGGAATCAACTCAGTCCATCGGGTTTGGCTTTTTTTGCTTTTACTTGCTAAAATTCTAATCATTATCAGTAATACATTATATTTTCAAGTCGTATTCCTTTACAAGCAAACTTTGGGTTCTGTTGTTCATACATCCCTACTAAGGCATCATTAATGCTATCAAGTTCCTCATTTTTCTAGGATCAACATGTAGCTTTAAATGCCTTTTAAAACCAAAGCCACTTCCGTCAAGCTGATTTCCAGTCATAGCGACCCTGTAGGACAGAGCAGAACTGCCCCATAGGGATTCCAAGGCTGTAAATCTTTACGGAAGCAGACCTGCCACATCCTTTTCCTGCAGAGCTGCTGGTGGGTTTGAACTGCCAACCTTTCGGTTAGCAGCTGAGCACTTTAACCACTGTGCCACCAGGGCTCCTTGCCTTTTAAAAACTGGGGTATGAAAAAGAAAGCATAGTTATGTTCCCTCTACCCTGGCGATCTAATGTTTTATTACAAAAACATGGAAATAAGCATGTACTGTAGACTACAAACTAATGGTGACTACTTTGATTGGCTATTGTCTAACTGACAACGAAGCTATGCCACCCCTTTTCTGACTTAAGCTGGAATTCAGGCTTAACACGTCCAATCAAACCAACTGCAGGCTCTGAGATCTCCAAGCTCTGTATTCTCCCCTTTCAAGGTCTGGTTTCATTTTCTTGTACTCACCTTCCAGCCACTGAGCACATGTTCAATGGGAGCAAAGGCTGCCTGCTCCTTCTCCAGGGGGAAAACCAGCTGCTCTGCTTTCCGGTTCTTTAGAACTATAGGATCCCATTTGGAGAGAGCTTGGGAGGTTTTATTGAATGCCACTTCTCTGTGGATCTGAAGCAGGCAAGGTACATAAAAGGAGAGAGCCACGGGATTAAGTATCAAACTCAAAGGTGTAACAGGAAATTAGGAGGCAATGTTTCTTAGCCCAAGAAAGAATCTGGATGCTGGTGATTAACTCTTGTTTATTTCTCAGGACTGCAATTTCCCCTGGATTATTTTTTAATCTTTTCTAAGGTGAGGAAATCACAACTTCCCCTCCTCTCTCACATGACCCCGTCTTTCCTTGTCAATTTCTTCCCCTCAGTGGACCACTGTCTAACTTACCCGCGCAACCTCTTCTTTGTTAAGGGGCAACTCCACAGTCTTCTTTGATTTGACTCTATTCAGTTGCTTTCTCACAGTGGCCAAGGAGGATGAAGGTTTAATGGGCTGAAGCAGATCTGAAAGGACCAGCTTTTCTCTCGTTCCTGTACAAAGGCCAAACTTTCTGGTAAGACTGAGAAGTGAGGCACAATCTCAGTATTATGCAGGGAGATGCCTCAGTCAAAAATGCTGGTGGACAGGCATATGTGGAGGGAAGCGGAAGAATTCTGACGTCAATTTCCTATTCCCAGCCATAGCGACACCATCACTTTCTTACATTCCCAAATATGTTGGGAGTGGGTGGGTAGAAGACAGGAGAAAAATGCATTTATTTAAAACACCACCATTTGTTTACTCCTGGTCTTTCTGCTTCCACTCTTGGCCCACTGCAATTCACTTTTTTACACAGAAAATATAAATCACAGCATGTCATGATCCTGCTGAAAATCCTCCAATGGCTCCCATTACGTTTGGAATAAAATCAATCTAAAGACATAGCCCTACGGGATCTTGTACCTGTCTACCTCTCCAATCTCGTGCCATCTCCAACTTCCACTGGGCTCCAGTCACACTAGCCTTTTTCCTATTCTTCAAACATGCCAAGAGGGTTTCTTCCTTAGTTTTTGCATTAGCTAGCCCTTCACTTGGAATGCTTTCCTCTCTCTTTCCATGGTTGAGTCTTCTTGTCATTCAGGTCGCAGCTTAAATTTTGCCTTTTCAGAGCCCTCCCATCACCAACCTTTGTGCCTTTGTACAAGAACAATCTAAAGAGGCCGCTTACTCACTTTATTGCTTTGTCCTATTTTAATTCTCTTCTTGTCTCCCCCCGACAGAATGTAAGCTCCAAGAAATCACCTCTTATTTTCTACTGTATTCTTACTATCTAGAACAGTCCTTAATACTGATACATAGTAGAAGCTCAGTAAATACTTGCTGAGTGAATAAGCTTGGAATACACTGTTACTTGCTCTGAGAGGTTACACTAGTGGTTACTACAAATGCAAGCTCATTCAAGCTGTCTAAATTGCAAATGTAGTGAAAAAGATTTGGCATCTAGACTTGGTATCAGGTTAAAATCTCAGCTCTGCCACTTACTACTTGTGTATTCTTGGTGGGGGGCATCACGCCCCCCACCCAAGGGGGTGAAAGTTGAATTGGGAGGGGTGGGATCTTAAAAATTACTAGGTTTTGTGTCCCTCCAAAGCTCAACTCTATCTAACAAAATCTTATTCCTTATTATTTAATTTCTTGTGTGTGTGTAGCAATTACAGGGGAAAAAGGTCTGGAAAGATTCCTTTGGAGGACGATTAAACAAAAAAAGGTTTAGAAACACTGTACTAGGTGAAGGCCCTTGAGTAAGTACTCTGACCTCCTGAGCTCCAGTTAACTCAAAGTGTTGTTGTCAGAACTGAAATAAAAATGAAATAGTGAACATTAAAGAGTTACACAAATACCAAGCATGATTAGGCGAGTGAGAGGCAGCCATCTTCATATCCCTCTATCCCAGAAGTATCCCATCAAGCCCTGTAGGAGGCCTTGACTCTAACCTAGAAGAAACAAAAGAAACTCAAGGGCATCTGACTACCCCTCTTCGCCAACTCTCATAGGCACTTATGGTACGATTCACTAACCACATCAAAAACAGAGTTCCTAGGGGGTGAGCTGACCATTATGCTCTTAGAACCCCATGAGCTCCAAGCGTGGACATCTTTCTTCAACTTACCTTCAGAACTGACATTGAACTCTGACACCTTCAGACTAGCCTCTGATCTCTCAGCCAACTTCCGCCTGAAATTAGGCAAAGCACAATATAGTAGAAACGGACACATTTTGCTGGGGGAACAAGCATTTCTCTCTTCAAACAAAGCTTTGGTTTCGGGTATTTCTCTTCTAGGGTCAGGTTTCATCATCACAAGGCAATCCGTTCCTAACCTGGACTTTTGTATTTACCAACCCTGAATGTTTTGCCTTATTAGGAATGAGTTGAGGTAGTCTAGCCTTCATCTTTTCTCTTAATGTAGACTCAGCCCCTCAGAAACTCAAGGCAATACAAGGTAGGCACAGTGGAAAACAAATTGGACTGGAATTCAAACGCGACTGGAGTTGAATCCTGGATCTGCCATTTATGAGCTGGGTGACCCTGGGGCAAGTCAATTAACTTTTCTAATGGAGATAAGCAATGCCTGCTCGGTGCTTCAAAAGACTCTAAGTGTAGATTAAGTAAGAATACAAATGCACCAAAGCCTAACATAATAACAACAATAAGGATAATAACAGCTAACAAATTATATAACATTTACTATATGCCAGGCACTGGTTTAAAAGCTTTACACTTATTATCTCATTTAAACCTCACAACCAGGGCTTCGAACTGGTTCAGTCGTAACTGATAAAGTGAAACTGGAACAGACTTAAATTTTTAAATTTGGGTGGTCTGGAACCATAACCAGAATGGGAAAAATTATGGGTCAAAACCCTGGAATGGGAGACATGGAAGAGGCATAGTAAGCCCTTTCAGGAGCCTGATGCATTACACTAGATTATTACCAGGACTGAGGAGAGTGACACACATTCAAAGTGGCGTGGTCACCACCATCTTTGAGTGGGGTACCACTGTTTCTGACTCTGCGCAAAATCCGATAGGCAAGAGATTTGGTTGCTATGCAACGCGTACACTGCCCTTGTTTTCTAAGAGGGAGATTAAGTTTCTAGCAGGGCTTTGACCCATAATTTTTCCCGTTCTGGTTCACCTAAATTTAAAAAATTCGAGTCTGTTCTAGTGTCACTTCCTTGGCCATGACTGAACGTGGAAGAACTGGTTCGAAGCCTTGCTCACAACCCTGTGAGACAGGTAGTAGTATTTTTTTTTAATATTGTAGTGAAAATATACACAACAAAAATTATGCCAATTCAACAAGTAGATGCAATTTTTAAACTTCTTTTATAGCTGAAGAAATTGAGGTGCAGAGAAGATAAATAGCTTGCCTACAATCTGTGATTCTTATGTATGACTTCCTGGGAATTTGTTAGAAATGCAAATTCTCAGCAATGGGTCAAACAGGACTGAACTGGTTCAAAGCCCTGCTCCAAAGTATGTGCATGCTCTTAATAACTATGCTATACTGACACTCAAGTCTTCACTGTCTTAAACCAAAACCAAACATACTGCTGTTGAATCGATTCTGACTCATAGCGACCCTAGGCACTCAATGAATGCTATTAGCTGCAGGTAAGTCTCGTGGAATTCAGCTAGTTATAACCTGCCCAAACTGGTAGAAATGTTACCTATTCTTTCCATCAAGGGAACTGATTGCTTCCAGAAGCTTTTGATGCTTCCTCTCTCCATCACTGTCCCCCTAGACACAGAAAAGGGAAAAAACAAAACAAATCAGGATAATGAGGGGGAGGGAAAAAACACCATGGAAATTGAGGCCCATGCAAAATCTCTTTATTTTTGTCACTGGAGAACTGGGGAATCAAATGAGGTCTGGTGTGCAGGCATTCCAACACAAACTGAAAGAACTGTGTCACAAATCAAACTCCCTCATTAAGAGTTTAGAACGCAGATCCTTAGTAACCTGGGAGGTAATGCCGTGCCTCTAGCTTCACTTGTTTTGAGAAGAAAGTGCTATGAGAATAATGCTTCTGTATAGCATATATAGCGTGCTCTAACATCACAGAAACCCTGACACATAGTGTAAGTCATATCCACGCTCACCACGGTGGCTTTTCCTAGGGGAAAAAATACACAACAACCAGAAAACAAACAAAACCCCTTGTCATTAAAATAGGGGCTCTTTGCCCCCCCCATCACACCCCCAATTTAATGAGTTTTGTCAAGGGAAAAAGAGTTGGAATTCCTACAGCATCTGTTGGGGATCCTCCTTAAAATATTATCTATAAATGCATATTTCAGTAGATAATTAAATAACTCCCTACAGAAATCCAAACGGGAAATCATATAAGGACCATGTGTTTTGGGCTCATATCCTCAGCTACATTTAAGGAGCTTGAGTACAGTGACTGTATCTTACATATTCTTCAAATTCCCATAGCACTTAATACAATGGTACATACATAAAACACTAAATAACTGTAATTTCTTTGAGAGACTTGGACAAATATATACAATCTTGCCACCCCTTTCTTTTCCTGGAATGTGCTGTCTGGCTGAATTTTGAGGCAGGAAGCAAAGTGGAGAGGGCAGTTAGCAGTTGTCACCTACTTCATCTTCACTGGCACTCAAGGGGTAGTCTTTTGGCAAATCCACTAGTTCTTCTTGTTGGCGCAAAGCCAGAAGGCTGTTAAAGGAGGCAATAGAAAAATATTATCACTGGAAATAATTTTTCTTCTTTCAAAACAATCTCTAAAACAGAACTACAGTTCTCAGCATGGAACAGCCCTATCCCCTGGAAGAGGTACAAACCAAACAGTATGAGTGCCTCTGGAAATTTGTCAAGACATTACATTTAGACTTCAGAAGTCAGGCACCCCCTCTAAGAGGTGCTCAGTGGTTGGTGATACCTGTACAGAACTGTATGAAAAGGATTTAACATTCTTTAGTGATTGGCACTACATTTCCCACTGACCTCTGGGAAGCTGTAAAAATGTCAGACCCTAGGTAAAGTGGCAGAAGACTCTGGTGGTGGCCCTTGAGGCAAGGCAATTTCACAATATTTCTAAGCATCATCCACAAGAAAGATACCCATATAGGTGCATCCTACACGTAAGTGACTTCTGATCACTTGTTCCCAGGAATGGGGAAACAAGGAAATGGATAAAAGCAGTTGAGTGCCTTAGCCGTTTTCCCTGGTGCTTGCTAGGCAAAGTAGATGCTTAACTGAGGAAACTGCGTACCCAGAAACATAAAAGTATAGAGTCTCCTATTATCTAACAGTATATACCAACATTTGCAAAGCAACCGTTACTAAATGGATTACACTTAGTTCTCCCATGAGGGGAACATGAAACACCAGAGAAGAGAAAACGTCGAGGATGACTCCAATGAACAAAGGTTTCTAAGAGGGGAGAGGGCAACGCACGCGTTGCCTGTGTGTAGGGTTAAAGCTGGCAGAAAACGAGTCTTGTGACGAGTAAAGGGAAATTTATTAACTTAGCTGGAGGGAGAGGGACGCGGCTAAAAAGCTAAGCAGCAGAGGGTGCGAATTAAACTAAATTAATTAAATTAAAAATTTTTAAAGATGGATCGCAGAAATAGTAATGAGTGCCAAGGCCTTGGGAGGGAAACCATTGTCATTTGTTTAAAGGCGGCTCCCACTTCCCAAGAACCGGAGAACTTGGTCCCCAACGAGTCCCAGTCTCCCTTCAGCCCTCACCTCTCTGCTGAGGTCGCACTCATCTTTTCAGCGTTGTTCTCACACATGGGCCCGAAGCGCAAGTCGACAGGGAAGCAATTTCCGTGCGGCCGCAAAGCAATTTCTGCTTTCACCTATCGCGCGCGACAAGATCACTGCACTTCCGTTCTGCGCTGCAGCGTGAGTCGAGAAACTAGAGGCGCTTCCGGAGGCCTGCGGGAAACCGGAGGCTGGAGAGTCTTAGCCTGCCAGCGGGCGGGGCTTTGCTGTCCCCACCCACCCCCTCAGCTCTCTCGGGTTCCTGTGTCTGTCCTCCCCGCCGTTGGTTTTTGAGCGGCCCAAGGTGGGTACATTGTCGGGGCCGGGCCGCTCCTTCGTTTATACAAAAAGGAAGACTCTGGTGACTGTCCGTGTTGGACAGTGTCCTGCAAGTCAGCTTCTGGCCAGCTCGAGGTTTTATTGAACGCCTGTGAAGTGCCAAGCATTGTGCTAGGCTCCGGTGATCCAGAGGTGAACAAAGCAGGTTTCCTTCCATTTTAAGGAAAAATCCACTTTGATCCTATAATTGCAACTCTGTTTCTCTTTTTTTATACAACAGAATTTTATCCAAGAATGAGCTGTGTCGGGCTACACACCTTCACTTTCCATCAACTTAAAAAAAATTTTTAAAATTAAATGGCGAAAAGTAATACACGGAAACATTCTTGCCATTTGTTCTTTAAAGTCATTCCCATTTTGCTTTTGTCCCACCATTGCACTGACACTGCTCTGGACAAGATCATAGATGACACCCAGAGTTGCTGAATAAAATGGACACTTCTCTGTCTTTGTCTTCCCAGATCTAGATACGACATTTGAGACTGTTAGTTTGTTTTCTTATTCATTCAGGAAATGTTTTTGACCAGCTCCTATTGCCAGGCCTCCAGGCACTGAGGATACACTGGTGAACAAAACAGACATGTGCCATGCCTTAACAGAGCTTACTTTCTAGTGGAATTAAAAACAACGTTCTCATTGTCAGAACTCTTCCATCCTGGGCTTCCATGACACCACTCTCTCATGGTATCTTATCTTCATGACCATGTTCCTTAGTCTTCTTTGATTCTTTCTGTACTTACTCCCTAAATGCTGATGTTCACCAGGATTCTGTTCTCAGTTCTATTTGCTTATTCCACATGTTCCTCCTAAGTGAAATTGCCTTTAACACCTGTATGAAAACTCCAAAATCTACATCTACAGATCTCTTTCTTGAGCTCCCGACTAGTATCTCTGATTGCCTCCTGGATGACAACCTTTTTGTCCCACCCGTTAAAAAAAACCTATTGCCATCAAGTTGATTCTGACTCATAGTGACCCTATAGGATAGAGTAGAACTACCCCATAGGGCTTCTGAGTAGTGCCTGGTGGATTCAAACTGCCAACCGTTTGGTTAGCAGCCATAGCCCTTAACCATTGAGCCACCAGGGCTCCTACAGACACATCAAATACAAAATGTCAAATAACATCTGTCTTTTCCAGTAGAGTTCTTCTTCTGTATTTCTCATCTCTATGACTGGCACCATCAATTACTCAGTTAGTCAAGTCAGAAGTCTGAGAGTCATCTTAGATTCCTCTCTCCCTTATGCTCTCCAGTTGTTCCCCACATTGTCAGTTTTACTTCTGAATCTCTCTCTTCACTTTTTTGCCATTATTGCCTCTGTAGTAGTTCAGACCCTTGAAAACTTAAACCTGTTGGATTACAGTCCAGTAGTCTATTGCAGTAAAGGGGAGCATTATAGCATACTGATAAGAGCATGAGTTTTGAAGCTGGACCCTCTGGGTTTGAATCTTAGTTCTGCCACTTACTAGATTTGTAATTCTTGAGTAAGTCACTTCACCTCTCTGTGCCTTTGTTTCCTCATCTTTAAAATGGAGATGATAATAATATATTGGGTAGTTGTGAGGACTAAATGAATTTACATAAAACACTAGAATAAACAGCCCTTAGAATAGCACCTGTCACACATTAAGTGGTCAATAAATGTTAGCTGCAATAATTATTATTTTCTACTGGCCTTTCAGTCTTTAGTCTCTCTTCATACAATGTTATACCCTGCTTAAAAGATGCAAATAGACCCTCCTTGCCTTCAAGATAAAATAAAAACTCTTTAGTCCTTGTCTACCTCTCCAGCCTGAGGGAATTGCTTGCTACTTTCCTCAAGGCCCTTTAAATTCTTTTTTTTTTTTAATGGACAGATGATGTTTTCTTAATCTTATATAAAAAACAAAACAAAAACCTGATGCTGTCAAGCTGATTCCGACTCATAGCGACTTATATAAAGTGTGAATAACAGCATTTTGAGAAAACATTGATATTTTTATTGATCTACACATAATCTATACATAATACATAATGGGGCCCTGGTGGCACAGTGGTTAAGCGTTTGGCTGCTAACCAAAAGATCGACAGTTCGAATCCAGCAGGTGCTCCTTGGAGACCCTATGGGGCAGTTCTACTTTGCCCTATAGAGTTGCTATGAGTCAGAATCGACTCGACGACAACGGTTTTTTTTTGGGGGGGGGTGGTTTATACATAATCTAAGTAAAAATTGTGTTTGCTGTGCAAATGCAGCTTTGAGACTGTACAAGTCCCCTAGGTAGGTATACCCCTTCCCACCGTTAACCAGATTGCTGCCCCCCATTTCCCTCTTATAGAGGACTATGTAATAGTCAATGCAGTATTTCACCTGAGACCTAGAGGATAAGAAGGAGCCAGCTTTGTTAAGAACTGGGGAAGGATGTTCCAGGCAAAGGAAACAATGTGTACACAGGCCCTCAGGATTGGGAAGAGCTTGGTATATTTTAGCAACTGAAACACTGGTGAGGCTGAATCATGGTGAACAAGGCCGTAAATGTCATAGAGAGGAGAATGGAGAGATGAGCAGGGTCCAAGTCATGTAGGGCCTTGGTAAGGAGTGTGAATTTTATTTTATTTTATTTTTTCATTTTTTTATTGTTGTGATTAAATGAAGTTTACATTTCAAGTTAGTCTCCCATACAAAATGTTTATACATACAGGAGTGTGAATTTTAAATAAAATGGACCACTAATAAAGGGGTTATGTAAGAGAGTGACATAGTCTAATTCTTAAGAAAATCACTTTAGCTGTTGGAGGGAGAATGGATTTGAGGGGGGCTTTAGCGGAAGCAGGGAGACCAGTATAACGAGATGATAGTGGCTGTGGAGATAGAGTAATTGATGGGCCCACCAGAGGGATATGGGAGGAAAAGGCAAGAGGAAAAGATGATGCCTAGATTACTGACTTGAATACTGAGTGTGGTAGACTATTTACTGACATAGGGAAGACTAGGAATAGAGGGAACAAATTTAGGGAGTAAGATCAAAAGTTTGGTTTTGTACTTTAGATAGAGTTGAAAGCAAGATATCTAAGTGGAGATGTCAGGAATGTAGTTGGGTGTTGGAACTGTGGAAGATAATTAGTTATGAATCCTTGATCTTGATTAAAGTCTCTGGGTGTCAAAAATGATTTGCGTTCAACTAGTAACCTAAAGGTTGACCGTTCAAACTCATCCAGTGGCATCATGAAAGAAAGGCCTGGCGATCTGCTTCTGTAAAGATTAAAACCAAACCAAAACCAAACTCATGGCCACTGAGTTGATTCCAACTCCTAGCGACCCTATAGGACAAAGTAGAACTGTCCTATAGAGTTTCCAAAGCTCTAATCTTTATGGAACCAGACCACCACTTCTTTCTCCTTCGGAGCAGCTGGTGGGTTCAAACCGCCAACCTTTTGCTTAGCAGCCAAGTGCTTAACCACTATGCAACCAGGACTCCTGTAAAGATTACAGCCAAGAAAACCCTATGGAGCAGTTCTACTCTGTAACACATGGAGTCACTGTGTGTCAGAATAGACTCAATGGCAATGGGTTTGGTTTTTTGGGTTTGGATCTTGAGTAAAGCTATTAGTGATTATCAATAAATAAAAAGATGTGTTTCCCCCCCAACAAGTATGTTTATGTTTCACCTGATTTACATTTCACAAAAAGGACCCAGGCTCAGCCAAAACTTACAAGATGGCATCAATTGTAATTTTACCTTAAAATTTGACTTTGTATGCCTTGCAGCATCTAGCTTAGTCTTTGAACGCAGTAGTGGCTCAGTAAGTGTTTTTTGAATTTATGAGTGAATAGGGTCATAATTGTTCTATACTATTCCTTCTCATCAAAGATGTGTAATAATTATTTGTACATAATTTTACAATTTACAAAGTGCTTTTACATCCATTATGTCATGTAAGTCTTTTTTTTAGTTTGAGATAATTGTAGATTCACATGTGTCTTAGTTATCTAGTGCTGCTATAAACCAGTGGATGGCTTTAACAAAAGAAGTTTATTCTCTCCCAGTCTAGTAGGCTAGGAGTCCGAATTCCGGGCGCCAGCTCCAGGGGAACGCTTTCTCTCCCTCTTGGCTCTGGGGGAAGGTCCTTGTCATCAATTGTTCCCTGGTCTAGGAGCTTCTCAATTCAGGGACCCCAGGTCCAAAGGACGTGCTCTGCTCCTGGCTCTGCTTTCTTGGTGGTAGGAGGTCTCCCTGTCTCTCTTTTATATCTCAAAAGAGATTGACTCAAGATTTAACCTAATCTTGTAGATTGAGTCATGCTTCATTAACGTAACTGCCTCTAATCCTGCCTCATTAACGTCATAGAGATAGAGTTTACAACACATAGGAAAATCACATCAGATGACAGAATGGTGGACAATCACACAATACTGGGAATCATGGCCTAGTCAAGTTGACACACGTTTTTGGGGGACACAACTCAATCCATAATGGCATGTAATTGTAAGGAATAATACAGAGAGATCCTGTGTATCCTTTACCTAGTTTCCCCCGATAGTAACGTCTTGCAAAACTCTAATACAATATTACAACCAGGATATTGACATTGATACAGTCAAGGTACAGAAAATTTCCATTACCACAAGTTGTCCACACCCAGTTCCCTGCAACTGCCACCTCCTCCTTAACCCCTGGCATCCACTGATCTGTTCTCCAAATCTCTAATTTTGTCATTTCAAGAATGTTGTATAAATAGAATCATATAGGATG